GAAATGTAAGAAAATTATGATCTATAGCTAACTTTTCATTTTACCTTTATTTTTTTAAAAATGTTTTGTTAGTTATTAAATTTTAAAAAATTTGGTATGAATTTAATTAATCATATAATTTAGCCCAAAGACCGTTATGTTGGTAATTGTCTTAGAATTAGGTTTCAAGCCACTTTTTTAAAAAAAAATTTAATGTTCAATTGTAATTTTATAGTTTTTTTCTTTTTTAGACCAATTTAATATAATTAAGGGTAATTTAGATAATTATAAAAAATTCTTATAACTTTATTTTCTTTCAAACAATAAAATAATTTTTTTTTAAAAATTTTCCTGTAAAATTTTCATTCTAACCAAATACATGCATGAAAATATATTTGTTATCATTTTTTTTTCTTTCATTTCACTTTTTATTATTTTCACTTTCCATCATTTTTTTCATTCTAACCAAATGGACCTTAGTTTAAATTCAGACCTTTTTTATTTGGGTTGAGCTTTTTGCTTGATTATCCACACCATATGACCAGAAAATAGTTTAAGTAGGGGCAACTCATTAGCCAAACAATAATTTCAGTAGGATTACCCATCAGTTAAAACTTTGTACACGTTCCAATTTACAAAAGGTTTTGTAATCCACTGCTCTAACTTTCCATTCTATTCGTAATTTTATACAATTTTTCCTCTAAAGTTTTTCCTGACTGATTGATTTTGTAACAAATACTACTACACTTACTGTGATAACCACTCTATCTCACATCCTAGAGGTTAATGTTGCTTTGAACTCCTCTGGTTGTTTTGTCCTCCTTGTATACTCGGGTTCAATACGCCACAAGGGTTCCTTCCATCGTCAAAGGGAGGCACTGAAGTTGATGAAGAGTGAGCCCCTGAAGCCTGAGCCGTGTCATTGGCTAAAATATTAGCTCGATTAGAATGAACCCTGGAAGCATTAGCTTGATTATAATGATCAGCCTGAAATGATACTGGAAGAGGAGACGAGGTTAGAATATGCAATTCAAACTGGTTATGAGCAAAGGGACAAATCTTTTCCTTACAGTTCATTCCCTTATTGCACAGTCGACTACGAAAAATTTGTGGATGAAACCAAACCTCAAAATTTCCATGTGCTTTTCTACATTCAGACCCTAGAGGGAAGTTGTTGTACCCCATTTGAAAGTCCAGACAACTGACGGCCATGTAATAATGCTTACGTAAGTCCCTTCTTTTGGTCTGATGATCATTCGGGTGATAGTCAGGGCACTCACAGGGCCAGGACTGATGTATGTACATTTTACGACATGCATTGGTTCTGTACTCGTTTATCATGAAATCATTCGTCTGATTAACCCAACCATCGGTAGAAGATGCATCATCATATCGTTTTCTAATATCTTCATCCTCAATTACCACCCTATTCAATGGATCCCAATTAAAATTTGCCTCAGCACCATATGATACTAGTAGGTTAATAATCTCCATGGAAGGCTCATAACAATAAGCGCAGTCTAGGACAGTTAGTCCATCTGTATCAACAGACCTGTTTATATCAACCTTATGATACACGAGAATATATGTTGCAACTTTTATACTACCAAACATTGCAGCAAGCATTAAGGGTGTCCTATTTAGCTTCTTCACCTCATATGCCCCAATTGTCCTACCATTCACGTGAATGATCGTATCAATATCACACCCTTGAACCTCCACCGCATATTTGAACTCCAGTTCCTGATCTAATATCGATGATGTCTTGAGCAAAGATGTTGCATCATCAGAAATTTCGTGAGCCATGAAAAAACTGGTGGTTCGATGAAATTTATCCCCATTTGAAATCACTGCAGAGGAAATTAGCTTTCTTATTCACTGATAATACAAGAAAAAATATGTTCCATTTCAATCTGATTGCAAAGGTTGGTATAGATTCAAAAAAGGAAAACTTGAATCAGCTGAGCCAGAACAGTCTGCCAGCTTGAATTCAGATTGAACATCAAAAGTATCAAAAATACATATATAATTTTTTCGATTCCTACATTGTCTCTGCAACCAAACACACTCTTCCACCTCTTTCTTCCCCTTGTGGACATTTTATCCAATTTTTTTACATGATTTAAATTTCATCAGAAACTAATTTGGGAGACACACACATGTATGCATATCAAGAAAGGAAGTTAAACATCATTCTGGTTTAAAGAACGAATCAAGAAATCCAAACCCTCAAGACGGTACTAAAAATCTAATTTTCTTTTTCAATATTAAGTTTTGAACTCAACCCTCATCATATTCCATATTTTGTATACAAATTTCTTCATATTTTTACTTCATCAGAGACTCATTTGAGACACACAAACGAAATGAAGTCAAAGAACATTCAAGTTTAAACAATGAATCAAGGAATCAAGACCCTCAAAAGGGTACTAAAGAACTTGAGAAATTATAAAGGATTAACGGGTAAAACAAAGAAATTATAAAGGAATCATACAAACAATCAACAGCCAATTCTGCATACAGATGATGTTTCATACATATAAAGAAGTATTCATATGACTGGTAACTGATGGGACATTTCTGGAAAAAAAATAGATCAGCGACACGTGTCCTCGACATTGTTATATTTCCAGCCAGGAATGGCCACAGATCCTCAGCGACACTCATCCTCATCAGTTGAGGCCATAGTGCTCGGAGTCGAGGGATCCCCCCATTGGAGTGGTCAATACGCGTGTCCTCGGCTCGGCAAAAACCCCTTGACCCCGAGATAGACAAATGTTCCTCAGTGCTGAGGTGTTCCTTCTGTAGGCTAAATCCAACCTTCCCTCCGCTTCTATGAAAGATAATGATTGACTGATGGCTAGCCTAGGACAGGCTAGGCTAATCATCATGAAGGCGCTCTGCTCAATGGTGTCAGGAGGAGCAGGGATGCAGAACACGCAACCAAGAAGGAGTGGACGAGTGGAATTTGATATCAAATCAGCAGCAAAAATACCTGGGTACTCCTGCTGACACATGACTAAAACAAGTATGCATTTAATGAATACCCTTCTTGATGAGACAACTTTTAAGGCATGGGGGCCGAGAAGTGAAAGACATTAAATACTCCCATGCTTGAGCATTTAATACTCCTTTGCGGGAATTGAATACTCAGAAGGCCGAGGGGAAAACATCAATTGCTCGGCGTCCTGAACAGTTAAGGTTGAATGCATTCCCCACTAAAGGAAAGGGGGAATACTGCCCCATCTTTAATGATTGTCTACTAGCTATATTATCAGCAATGATGAGCTTTTGAAGGTATAAATAGCCCTAAAAAACATATTACAAAGGTACGTAAGAACTTCTGAAAAGAACCACAATGCTTTCTTCTTCCCCTCTCTCAAAGAATTGACTTGATCGTTGGAGGGAATATGTCGGAGAGCACTCCGGCACCCTTCTAACCTGTGTTTTCTGTGTCACAAGATCCCCCTACAGTCTTCCAGGATCGGTCAGGCGACCCAACAAACAATTCATCACCAGTCCTTAGGGCTCCTTTGTCCCCCTCAACCTACTTTTTGTTGCCAAAACCCACTTTCGGATGGGTTGAAACTTTGTCGGAGGCGACTAGAGATTCTGAAAGCAAACCTTCAATTATGTCGAAATTACTGTCTTGTCGAACCACAGTTCATCGTGGAGAGATCTGTTATTTTATTGATCAAACATTTTATTTCATCTATAGAATTGGGATGAAGAAGTGCAGAAGTTAAAAAGCATAAATGCAACTCATCTTTTTCGATGAGGATGTTTCAATAAGGTAACTAAATTTATTTGTTATAGTTTATTTTTATTTTCAAATTTATAAGTTTAAAATCCCTGTCGTGTACTAAATTTGAATAAGGTAACTGGTTTTGTAAATACTAGATTGTTGTACATTCCCCAAGTTGGAAGATGCGGATTTGGATTGATACAACGACATTCAAGGCTGTGATGGAGAGAGAGTACTTACAATGATGTGCAAATAATCCGCNAATTTGGATTGATACAATGACATTCAAGGCTGTGATGGAGAGAGAGTACTTACAATGATGTGCAAATAATCCGCATTTTGATGAATTATATTCAAGAGTAACCCATTTTGTAAATGTACTATATATAATTACATTTTGTGGTCCGTATTTCACTAAACTCATGACATTTTGTATTTAAAAATTATGTACAGTGCCTTCAGACACATTATATATGGCAAGTTAGGTTGTGTTCGAGAATAATGCTTGGTTATTTCGGGTTTAAATTCAATGTTCAATTTTTTTTAGTTGTATTGTGCCTTCAGGCACGGGTTATCCCTATATTTCGGATTTACAATTATTTTATTTTTCCTGATAATTGATTATATTTCAAATATTTTCAGGTATACATGGAAGGATATGAAAATAAAGTTGAAGNATATGTTTCGGATTTACAATTATTTTATTTTTCCTGACAATTGATTATATTTCAAATATTTTCAGGTATACATGGAAGTATATGAAAATAAAGTTGAAGGTGTTTTTTTATTTGTGCATGTGTGTATTTTTTGTGTTCTATTTTTGTACAATTAACTAATTATACATGGTTATGATGGTTTTGTTTTGGTGGTTTGGATAAATATGTTTATGATGATTGTGGTGATATGTATAATTGTAAGTTTTATAAACAAGTTTAGATTTTTTTGAATTTCTATTTTTAGAGAAAATTCTACCCAAATTTCTTGAAATTAGTAGGGATTAGCTTTATGTTTTTGTGGTTTGAATATGTGTTGATGATTGAGTATGTATTGATTATTGTGGTGGTATGGTGAATTATTGTAAGTTTTATGGACAAGTTTAGATTTTTTTGTACTTCTATTTTTAGAGAAAATTCTGCCAAAATTTCTTAAAATTAATAGAGATTAGCTTAATGTTTTGGTGGTTGGATATGTGTTGATAATTGGGTATGTATTGATTATTGTGTTGGTATGGTGAATTGTTGTAAGTTTTATAGACAGGTTTAAATTTTTTTGGACTTCTATTTTTAGAGGAAACTCTGCCCAAATTTCTTGAAATTAATAGGAATTAGCTTGATATTTTGGTGGTTGTATGGTGAATTATGATGATTGTAAGTTCTGTAAACAGGGTTACATTTTTATAATTTCTTATTTTTAGAGAAAATTTCTAGATATTTGTATGAACTACCTTGATTTCAAATTGNAGGTTACATTTTTATAAATTCTTATTTTTAGAGAAAATTTTTAGATATTTGTATGGACTACCTTGATTTCAAATTGACAGGCTGTTTTAGATTGTAAAGCGTCTTTAGGTAATGTAGGATTTTTCGAGTTTTAGGTTGCATGACACTACCTTGATTTCGTTACACCATGCTTCAGGCACAGGCAATTGCTAGTATATATATATATATAGATGGATAGATTAGATGATTCTAGCTTAAGTTCAAGTTGAGACAATAGTTGGTTCGCTTACTTTGTTTCAGAGTTTAGATAAAAAAAAAATTAATGAATTGAATCTAAACATAATGTTAGAAACCCATCATGATCTGGAGTCGATCTCAAACACTCTTCACAAGGTGAACCTGAACAACGTGGTGCTTGACTCGATTTGATACATTTGCACCCTATTTTAAGTGTTGGCCTTAGGTATAAGGTATAAAAAACTAAGGTGGATAATTGGGACCCTCAATGGAAACCAAAGTTTGGGGTTTAAAATGAAGGAAAATGTTATATAATTGAAATAAAATTCAAAAGTTAAAATTTAAATGTATATCATCCTTTTATGTGAGCGTGGGATGAGCAGGTCCCATTAAAAAAATTGATGAGACTCACTTATTCAAAAAATGATATGTATTTGGATTGTAATTTTTTGGATTTCTTTTGAGTTTTGTAGCATTGCTATAAAATGAATATCTCAAAATAATTCAAATATATTTTTAGGACTTTAATTTTAAATTGATTTTCATATAAAATGTAATTTCTATCTCTTGACACAATACTTTTGTAGTAATGCTGCACTCTCCAAATTTAGAGTTCAAATGACATGACAATATATTATTTGAAATTTTTATTGGGAGCCAAATGACATGACACCAAATAAAGAAGTCCAAGTTAGTTGTCCTATAATTTAGACTCCAAAATTGATCCCAAATTTTGATCAGTGTAGCATTACCCATACTTTTGCTAGCTTGTAATCAGAATCGATTATTGTGACGATTGGATTAGGAGCAAGTTTCAGTATTAAATGTGGACAATCAATCCAATAATCACAATATAGAAAAATCTCAAAATCAGGTATAAGTAGGATTATTGCTTATGTCAATGAAAGAAATAATGGAAGAGAAGTGAAGGAAGGCTTTGCAGTCATGATAAATGAGAGTTTTGACCATTTCAAGTTGACTACCACAAGATTTACATTTGTATAGCTAGCACGTTTAACATAAAAAAACGTCTTTGTAATCCTCCTCTAACTTTCTTTTCTATTGGAAATTTATACTTTTACCCTCCAAAGTTTTTCCTAATTTATTTTTTTTGTAACAAATACTCCTTCCAACACTTTTGATTAAGGCTTGTGTATATCATCAATTTCTCTCTTTGTCTTTTAACAGTTTGTCATAATATGATAACCAGTGACACCAGTCTATCCCACATCCTAGAGCTGAATGCAACCCTGAACTTCTAGGAGGGTTTAGTGGTTCTTGTGTACTGGGGTTCAATAAACCACCAGTATAGCTGCCATTGTGATATGGTGGCACCCAACTTGATGAAGAACCATATTCAATACATATACGCCTGTTAAAAAAACTTAGGACTCTGGTTAGCAGAATCATATGGTTGGAAATTCATACCCCTTGATGGTCTTGCTTGCCTTTGATTTGCCCCTGGAAGTTGTTGGAACTGTCTACCCCCATTGTTTACATGGAACTGTTCAAAATGTTGAGCTTGATTTTGACCAAATCGGGTACCATGAACAGTGTAATTGGCTAAATCATTAGCTTGAATGGAACCAGAACCATGAGCTTGATTGTAACTGAATATTGGGTTTGCAATAGGCTGGGATGCATAACTAGGAGGCAATGTTCCAAGGCACAACTCTTAACTAGTTATTAGCATAGGCAAAAGCCATTCAATTACATTTCATTCCCATCTTGCATATTTGAGATCTGAATTTTTGTGTATGAAACCAGATCTCATGTTCTCCATGTGCATTTGTGCAATAGGAGCCTCGAACGCAGGACTTCTTTCTTCAAACTTTTCATAGGGAAAGATAGATAATAATGGTTACGCAAGTCCCTTATTTTCTGCTCTCCCACCGTTATGCCTCATGGTTGTAGTTGTATATCTCAAGGTAGTCTTTAGTTTTGTACTCGAACATCATGAAATTATTTGTCAGATTTTCCCAACCATCGCTATAAGATTCATCATCGTATAGTTTTCTAGTATCTTCATCGCAAATTAGCACCCTTTTCTCATGTTCCCCAATTGAAACTTCTTGTAGCTCCATATGATTTCAGCAGCTCAATAACCTCACTGGAAGAACTATAACAATAAGCGCAGTCCAAGGCGCTTAGTCTATTTGTATCAACAGTCCTGTTTATATCAACCCTGTTGGTTTTAAGAATACATGTCACCACTTTTATATTTCCAGACATTGCAGCCAGCATTAAGGGTGTCCTATTTAGTTGCTTAAACACATATGACCCAGTGGTCCTACTATTCCAAGGAACAATTATATCGATATCACACCTTTGAACCTCCACTGCATATTTGAACTTCGATTTCTGATCTGACATGGATGATGACCTGAGCAAAGACTTTTGATTATCAGAAATGTTACAACAATCCATGAAAAAAATGTTGTGTTGCATCACTTCTCCCTTTGAAATCATTGCAAAGGAAATTAGTCAAATCGTGGGTGGTAAGAGGTTTAGAAAATTGTTGGTAACTATGACTTAAACTAAATCAAACAAAAAGAGAAAATGTTCTAATTTCAAAGGTTGGAATAGCTTCAAAAAGGAAAACTCAAATCAGATGAGCCACATCATGTTGGCAGCTTGAACTCAGATTAAACATCAAGTACCAAAAATATATATTTTTTTTCATTTTCTTGCATTTTCTCTGCAACCAATAAGATGGGTATCACCATATCAGTATAACAGTTTTAAATCCATCCTCACCCTCTTCCACCTCTTTCTTCCCCCCTATGGAGTTTTAACCAAAATTTTACCTGATTTGAATTTCATCAGAAACTCATTTCAGAGACACACATGCATACATATGTATGCGGGACTGATATTCAAGTCGAGTTATTCGGGTTCGGGTCTTATAAGACTCGACTCGAACTCGGCTTGTATTTTAAATGAGTTAAGTTTGAACATTTTTTTAAGCTCGCATTCTAAAAGGCTCGGTCGAGCTCGTAAAGTTCAGCTCTACTCATTTTTTTAAACGAGTCGAATTTGAACAATTTTTAAGGTTTGTTTAAAAAAACGAGCAAGATAGACTTAGCTTGAACTCGTGTAATCGGCTCGATTATCAGTACTAAAAATATGGGGCGTGTTTGGTTTGTGTTTTGAAAACAGTTTTTTATTCTCAAAATACAAAATTTTATGAGATAATATTTGGACAGTAATTTTCAAAAATAATTTTTCTTAAAAAATGAAAATTAAGAACAAAAACTAGACAACATCATTTAAATGTTTTTTGAATTTTTAAGCCAAAAATAAAAAAACAAGAGAAATAAGATAAACACTTTTTTAAAACTTTTCTCAAAAATTATTTTTAAATACTATTTTTATATATGCAAACCACATTGGCCCCCATTTTTCTTTTCCAACATTTTCTCTGCAATCAATCAGATTAGAATATGAGTTTCAACCCCTTCCTCAACTTTCTTCCACCTATTTTGTCGTTTATCGAAATCTTACATAATTGACTTCATCAGAAACTCAGTATAGACACACACACACACACATGCATATCAACAAAGGAAGCCAAGGAATATTCTAGTTAAATTAAAACCCTCAAGAGTGTATATACCAAACACCTTGAACAGTGTCAAATGGGAACAAATGAATATCAACATGGATGAATTATCCTATGGTGAAGGTTTGAAGCTATAAACCTAAGAAACACCCTCAAAATTTCTCGATTATGTTTTTATGTACGCAATAGTCAACTTTGCACACAAACGATAAGTACATTTGTAATCAATGCTTCGTACGAATAAAGAAATACTAATATGACTGTGAACAAATAGTCATGTAGCATTGTAAACAATCGCAATCTTTGACAAATCAAACGTTAGTAATGTCAATAAACTATTTCAACTTGAAAATAAAATAAAATAATGGAAACCATGACCGTACCATGAGCGAGAGAGAGAGAGAGAGAAGAACTATGATGGATGGGGTTTGACAGCTCTTTCTTTAATTGCTTCAACCAGAGAGATAGAGAGATGTTTAACTATATTGTAAATTTATAATTATCAAATACACATTTTAAGTTTTAGTAATACTAGACTGATCAAATTTTGGAATCAAATTAGGAAAACTTTGCAGGTTGCAAGAAGCCAAGTTCAAACTGGTGATCCGAGACAAGGGAGAAAAGCTAGAATTAGTGCCTCTTGCATCAATTGACAAACTGTTGTATGAAAGATCGATGGTGGCAAGATTGTTGAGCCTGTAAATCATTTCAAGCTGTATAGTGCCGTTGAAATTGTTGGATGACAGTGATAGGATAATAAGCCTTTTGAGTTCAAAGAGAGACTCGGGAATGGCTCCTCCTAAATTGTTGCTACTCAAATCAAGTGTATCCAACTTTGACAAGGATGCATTGGGAAACTCTGGAAGTAGACCATCAAAATGGTTGTTTGAAAGCTGAAGTTTCTGCAACGATGGGAGAGCAAACAGAAATGATGGAATACTCCCACTGAACGAATTGAATCGCAAATCAATATATACAAGATTGAGAAGACCCTCTAAGTGAATGGAAGTAATCGATCCCACTAAATTGTTACGAGAGAGGTCTATATGGGTGAGATTCCTAGACTTCTGAAATGATGGGATTGGACCCATAAACATGTTGGATGACAAGTCCAAATAAAGAAGCCGAGTGAGGTTTGCCATCAAATAAGGCAATGGTCCACTGAAACTGCAATTCGATAGCTTTATCTCGGACAACATCCCAAGGTTACCAACAGAAGTTGGTAGTGCTCCTGAAAAGTTGGTGTAGCTAAGATTCAGGGTCTGTAGAGATCCATTCTGGGGAAATTCTTGCAAAGTTCCTTGAAGTAATGTATTATAAGACAAGTCAAGCGTCTGTAGAGTTGGTACCTGCAATATACTTGCAGGGAAATTTCCGTACAGATTACAAAAACCGAGATTCAAGGCTGTCAAATTCAAGAAATTCGCAAGGAATTCTGGAACAGGAGCATTTAGATTGTTATGATTCAGACGGATCACCGAAAGGGACTGAATCTTTGCAAGGGAAGAATGAATAGAGCCTGAAAGATAACAATTTGACAAGCTCAAGACTCTCAAATTAAGTAATGACGAAGACAAGGCCTGGCACCACTCATTTCCCTGTGCTGATAGGTTAACGCCATCAAGATGAAGTTCAATAAGCTCTGTGAGATTTTGAACAAACATCTTCAAATTTGGCATCTCAAGTTTCAGGGAAGAAGGTCCTTCAAAGTAAAGGGTNTTTGAACAAACATCTTCAAATTTGGCATCTCAAGTTTCAGGGAAGAAGGTCCTTCAAAGTAAAGGGTGGATAAATCAAGAGTAACCAACCTTTTCAATTGAGAAATCGATGGAACTTGCCCAGCAAAACTAGTGCTTGATAGATTCAGATACGTCAAACTGGTGAGATTGTTGAACCCGGGTGGTAATTGTGTGNGTGGATAAATCAAGAGTAACCAACCTTTTCAATTGAGAAATCGATGGAACTTGCCCGGCAAAACTAGTGCTTGATAGATTCAGATACGTCAAACTGGTGAGATTGTTGAACCCGGGTGGTAATTGTGCGTAGTTGAAAAAGTTGTTAGCCAAATTCAGGCTCTGAAGAAATTGAAGACTAAAAAGACAGGTGATATTTTCACTTCCGGCAGTGATTGATTCATTGTTCAGGTCCAGACTGATAACATGGCCTGCTTTGTCGCATTGCACACCATTCCAGTGGCAACAATCCGTGCTTCGGTTCCAGTATAACAGCTTCATGGAATTTGCTCGATCGAATTGGACACTGTTTCTTAATTGGACTAGCAAAGTTCTCTGGTCCTCCAGGCATCGACTGTGTACTAGAATAATAAAATCAATGCATAATATGGAGAATATAGCGATCAAGAGTAACCCGGAGAAGAAAGAAATTCTCATTTTGTTGGTGATTCTGAGGGGACAGTGAAATTGAAGTGAAGAGCTGTCCATGGGATTTGTGGTTTTAAAGATGCCACTGCCAAGACCCCACGGACTCGACTTCTTGGCTTGTGATCTTGACCCAATTAACACTTCATACGGACACGTTCAAACATTCAAAGGAAGAATAAAAATAACCCAAAAAGTCTCATATAAACCAAAGAAAATGTCGAGGGGCCCAATTTCTCCAGTCATTTCTTTGACCCTTGCTAGTATTTTTATCAAATGATAGATGAGTTTTGAGACTTCTGCAATAGAGTAGGAAAAATTAATTAACATCAAAAAAGGCGACTACCATGTTCTAAAGTCGAGCAAAATATGTTTCTCCTAGTAGCACGACTTAGGAAATAGATTAGGTTCATCGGTGCACACCAAAAAAAAAATAAATAAATAAAATTTAAAAATAACAATTTCCAAAATAAACTCTTTGGATTTCCTGCCTTATGATCTGCTGTTGTAAACCATCGTTTTTCCGTTGAATTAATTTCTCTCTTTGTACTTACTGCCACCTGCAAACTAAACTTGATGCACATAATCACAAATTTTGTTCAAACTTGAGTTTTTCACTTGAATTTTGCCTCGTGATGGCACTAAGACCCGACACTCAATCTCAGCCAATGCACTCAAATGTTCACAAAAATGCACGCATGAACATAATGTGGACTAGCAAGCAAACTCATAGTAACACACAAGTTTTATAGACCAAATGACCAAACATTTTACTTCTTAGCAAACTTAAAGGAAACCTGGCTAGGAGTTTGCTTACAAAATGTGTTCAACTCTCTTGGTTGCACTGCAGACCCTAGCATACCTATATATAGCATACAAAATAGAAGTTACAATCCCAACCGCTTAGGCAATGCAAGCACTCATTAGATTCACCCCCATGACCTGTTGATTATGGTCAAATCCTTTTGTCACTCCCACAATGTGCTGGTAATGGCAGGGGTAGTTGCAACTGTTGTCTGACCCAGCCAGAAACAACCCATAATTTCTCTACATGTTGTGTGCACATGCTAGCAACTCACAGGACCCCCTACATGTCATGCAATGCCAGCAACCGTCTGGAACTGCCACCATCTGTAGTGCACGTGCCTTTTCTTGTGAGCTCACAACACCTAATTAGCCTTGTCTTCATGCCAAACATGTTCAGATCATGGCTTGGTCTTCCAAGCAAACAGTGCCCAACAAATGGAGCCACTCGGCTAGCCTTGCTTGCTTATGCCCATGCATGAGTTGCCTACTTTAGTCATGCATGAGACTTCAATCAATCCACTGGTCTTACCCAACGTGCCTATGCATGAGCTGTCTTCCTCAGCTATACATGGGGCTTCCGCCAACAACAGGTCCCTCTGATCATCAGTCCCACATCTCGGGTCTCAGACTTTGGAATGCCTTGCCTCCACCCATGACAAACATTTGTTGGGCCATGTCTTGTTTTGGTGTGCCAAGGCTTAGGAGCATAAGGGTCCCTAAGGAGGTTGACCTAATACCCCTTTCGCGGAGCACCCCCTATAATAGCATTACAGAGCAAAACTGTATTGACAGCAACGAACATACTCTAAGTCGAGGACTCATAATAACTTCAGCTAGGGGCGTAGTCATTGCATGGCACTTGAGCCTTTGTCGAACCACTTTGTTACTCAACCAAATAAACGTCCAAATCCTTAAAAAGTCAACTTTGCACTAAGGATTTATTTCACCAAGTATAACTCAATTTGGCTAAGGTATGAGTGCCTTTGGATGAGACAATCATATACTAATATCTAGCCAATGAGGTAAGGGGATAACACGGTGCATATACACAAACACATCCCTGGCTTGTCAAAGTNGGATGAGACAATCATATACTAATATCTAGCCAATGAGGTAAGGGGATAACACGGTGCATATACACAAACACATCCCTGGCTTGTCAAAGTTTCGTGCCTATTCAGTTCACTGACCTCAAAGACAAGGTTAACGACAAGAGCCCCTTTCTGCGTGATATATTTTTGTTCTTACTTTTTTTATTGTCCTCCTTATTTCTCTACCTATGCACCCACCGACGCCAATCACCCACCATTAATATGACTGCGCCACCAAATTGGTTTCGGTTATCCTCAAGGCTCGACACAGCCACTGTCTATTGTTTCATATGGGTCAAATTTGAAGAAGACCAATAGTACTGGGCAAGAAGTAGAGTGATCTATTTTTTTGGGTGTGTTTGAGGAGGGAGAGAAAGTGAAGGTGATACCTTTGTGCCACCATGGTTTTTCATTTTGTGTGTGTGGACAAGTGGCTCAAAACTCGGTCGAGCTATCCTCTTTGCAGAGGGTCTATTCTTCGAATTGAGTCTAAGTCATGACTAAGATACCATGAACTGTCAAAGAAGGGCATATGCACAGAGTCAAGGCTACTGCTTCGTTTGGTAGGAATGATGGAAAGTAGGAATGATACACTTTCATTCCTTTGTATTTTGTTGGAAAAATAAAAATAACTATTTTTTTTTTGTGTTGGCTAAGATTAAGGGTGACAATTGAGCCGTGTCGTGTCAGATTCATGTTAAGTCATAAAATTATGAGTCTTTTATATTTTTTGTTCGCGTATCAAGTCATTTTCAAGTTCAAGTCGAGTAATAATTAAATTCGTGTCATAAAATTCGTATCGAGTTCGAGTCATGTTATCGTGTTGAGTCGAAAATATATGTATATATTAAAAGATATATAGATAAATAAAATACATATCAATACAAATAATTAACTTTTCATCTACTTTTCTTCTGATTTTGGAGGGATTAATTTTGGTGAGTTGAAAGGAAAGTTAATTCATTCACTTTTTCATTCTTTCTATTTTCCTTCCTTACCAAACATGATGTTTTATTTATGCTTTTAACTTTTTATCCTTCCAACTTTTTATCCTTTAATTTTTCCATCATACCAAACGGAGCATAAGTATGTGATTGTAAGAAATTTTAGACTTCGAACACCCTCATTGATGATTTCCTTAATTTATTAAATTTTTATCCCCTCATATTTTTTCCCCAAAAAATATCACATCATTCATTTTTATCTCCGCTCTCTCTCCACTCATTCATCTCCTTCGTCTCTCTCACGTCCCTCTCTCTCTCCCCAGCATCTTTCTCTCTCTCTTTCTATCTCTCTCACTCAACCACTCACTCACATCCAAAGGCGTTATAGGACTTGATTTTCTGATTCAATGACTTTATTTCTCACATGTCCCAAAACCGAATGAAAATTATTTTTAAATTTACCCAATCCCCAATCTATCTCTCCCCCAACATCTCTCTCACTCACTCATCCACGTCTCTATGATGTTGTTCAACAGCTCTCTCACTCCTGTCTCCACGAAGCAGCGAAATCCCCAAAACACACACAGACATACACAGTCCTCTCTTTGTCTTCTGTGCTTCCCCTAGAACACACCAAGGTCGGCTGTTTCACAAGGCTAACAAAGCTTGGGCTTTAGACCCCATATTTCAAGAAGACCCAAAATTTTTTAGGTGTATAATTTGTCCAAAACAAATATTTTAAATTCATAAGACTTTAGGCCTTACAAAAGCCGTGTAAAAATTTAAACTCAATCAAAAATAAATCTGTGTGGTTTGGATTCATGAATCCAACCCATTAAAAATATACTTAAATAAATTATTTTTTTTTAAAAAAAAAGAAAAACTAAGAGTTAAAAAAATAATTTTAACTAGTCAATCAAAACACACCATTCATTTATAATCATTCTCTCTCTCTCTCTCTCTTTATCTTTTTAGTAAATTAAGGCTCCCTTCTCACTTATTCTCTAAAATAAACCAAATAATTTTTATTAAATTATAAAAATTAAAATCAATAAATTATGATTGTTTAAAATTAAAATTGATAAAATATTCTTTAAAGTCAATTATCACAATAAAGATTAGACTACTTTTAATTTAAAAAATAAATTTTAAATAAAAAATTATTAATATTAAAAATTAAAAAAAAAACATCATTTGTAGTAGTCACTTTAATTCTCAAATAGTCTTGGGCCGCCCAGGAACACACACACATGCACACTCGAAGAAAAAATACCAAGTACGCAGAACACAAACACACTCAAAAATAGCCGACGATTCCATTCACCTATTTATTTAGATTTTGTTCTTTGTTTGTTTTAAGCAAAAAAAAAATCTTACTTTTTCCGTTGTTGTTTTGACGGTGCTGGGTTTAGACCTCTCTTAGCAATCAACTGTTTTCGTGGGTAAAAAAATAGTCTACCAAGGAAGTGAACAGTGACACTTACGCCATCTCTCACTCCCACCCATTAGCGATATCGCCAGATCGCAAGTATTGTTACTAGTTGGATTTAGTTATTTAGGATTATTTCCAATTTTAAATACATTTTCTATGCCATGATTTGAGCAGCCAATTTTAATTCATTGTCTCTGTACTTTCTGATTTAATATAGAGAAAAATCTCATCTTCCATGCAATCAATGGTGCCGAAAGAATCAACAGACTAAGAATGGTGCTTCAATTGTCAACTCTCAAAAGATAAAAAGGGTCAGTGTCTCTTTTTCCTTTTTTGTGCTGTGTTTTTTAATTTCACTTTGCGTCTAAAGAGAGAGCTCTTAGTACCGCCATGAATCGAGCCTACCTCTCCGTTAGCACCACTTCTTCTTCACGTCTCCCTCTATCCCTCTGTTTTTGCTTACTGAACAGTTTGGTTAGTTGAAAATCTGAGAGAGATAGATAGAGTAAAAGTAATTAAATGTCAAACAAATTACTATCATTTGTCGACTAAAATTATGTTCATCTTTTTGGTTAGTTCTTG